CCACGAAGAACAGAAAATTTTCGGTGAGATAACATTATTGGCCCTTTCAGAGACAGCTTCCTACGTTGGACTGCGCTACATCATTACTTTCTATTGCGGCTTCCGGATCAACATTGCCATAGCCTCGCCTCCTCCGTTACAGATGGCAGCAATTCCCAGTTCTCCAGGTGACAGCGAGTATGCTAGCGATAGTACGATTCGTAGACCAGACATTCTGAAACAGACATCAATTAAAATATACAGATGCTGGTAACGGTCACACACGAGTCGAAGAAAATTTCTCTTTCAGTACGATTCTATTTATCTTCCTTAACTGAAACCACTCTCCACTATCGTCGGCGGAAGGAGGAAGGTGGAAAAAACAACAGAAATTTTTGTATTGTGACGTGCTTAGCTTTAACTCTGAAGCGATTTTACGACTATCTGGCCGAATGCCATCACTACCCTACTTGAAGACAAACTCGAGCTCACATCCGAGGATTCTTGTATTAACTGGCTGTGTCTGGACTGGGCCAGAGCTGCAGTAGCGTGCCAATTTCTTCAGCAGTGCACGGGAACAGAGCTGGAGGGCAGTGACACCGGAAACTATATCCATACTCCGCCCACGACGCCGCAGCCAAACGCCTAGCCAAGATGAAACGCGCTACTATCTGAGCCCTCTCACTACTGAATGTTCTCCACTGCTGAGTATGCGTTTCGCTGTCGGATCTCGACACCGACGCAGGGCTGCGCCTTGGAGATACGGACGGAGTATGGAGACTGTAATCTCCATACTCCGCTCGCGCTCGGGTTCCATCACCCTCCGGTTCCGCTCCTGTGCGCTTCTGAGCGGAGAAAAAAAGCACGCTACTACAGCTGCAGATATCTTCATCTCGCACATGGTAAGGAACATCCGCAGATGTGAGCGTACAGTTTGTCTTCAAGCTAGACTTCAGTGCTGGTCATCACATAATCGTAAGGGTTTCATAACGGAGGACAACGTGGGAGCTAACCAGGGAAGTCCGCCAACTTACCATGTAACTTCGAATGGAGACCTGGGTAGATCGATAGAGTCTATAAGGTTATTTACAAATATAGATAGCAAAACCTGCATTTCACAAGCAACTTATGAGCAGGTAAAGTTTGTAATGGTGCAGTAGGGTGGAGGCTTGGTGGTGAGCTGTGAAGCATAAGCGAGGAATCGCATACGTCGAATCGAGTCGTCGAACGTCGAACCTTACCACTGAACCACCACGACTCGATTCGACATATGCGATTCCTCGCTTATGCTTCACAGCTCACCACCAAGCCTCCACCCTACTTTACCACCACAAACTTCACCTGCTCATAAGTTGCTTGTGAAATGCAGGTTGCAGCTATCTATATTTGTAGATAACCTTATAGACTCTGTCGATCTACCCAGGGCTCCATTCGAAGTTACATGGTAAGTTGGCGGACTTCCCAGGCCTCTAT